GAAGTATGGACTCAAATTATTACCAAAAAGTTTAAGATGAAAAAGATGATACCCAAAGGGGTTAATTAACTTGCTCAAGGTCACAGAGCAAGTAACAAGATCCCATCTCTAACATCAGGAAACAGATTATTAAACCTTCTGCCCTCCCTAATGCTAACAAGTTAAATGAGAGAAAAGAGAGCCCTGGGGAATTTCCTCTAATCACCCCACATTAGCTGAATGTCACAGATTGCATTCCAGTTCCTCTCAAATTCTACTGCACTTGCCATGGGTAAATTTCACACAAGCTCTTCCTCCTGTTTTGACTTGTCTTCCTTTTAAGAGTTTCATAAACGAATGGGAGAATGTTGTGTGTGTGTGTGTGTGTGTGTGTGTGTGTGTGTGTGTGTGTGTGAGAGAGAGAGAGAGAGAGAGAGAGAGAGAGAGAGAGAGAGAGAGAGAGAGAGAAACTCCCTAATTAATAGCTCAGGTATTAGAAACAGAAACCTAGACTTCTGTCTCACAAAATTTAACACAGTACAATGCTTACCAATAACCTATTTGAATGTATTAGATTAGGTAATAATCAGCATGGAAAATACACATGTGGCCCTAAGAATATAAATTGAAGAAAAAAAGAATTTTAGTGGAGGTAGACCATGTATTTTTATACCTACTAAGTCCAACACCATCATTTTAATTGTTCTTTTGCCAAGACATTTATTTCCCTTGACCTTCTTTGTTGCACATGCTGAACTCAATCACATCTCCAGCTCAACCTGGGAATGTGATTGAGTTCAGTCAACTTGGCCTTCTTCACTCCTTACATTGGTAAGACTAGAGACAAGATTGCAAACAACAGAAAGATGAACATACATTTATTATACTTAAATAATAAAGGGTATTTGGGCTAACATGTTCAAAGGTAGAACTGGCTTGAAATGGGGCTTGATCTTGCAGCTAAAATGGTATGATCAAGACCAAGCTTCTTTTTATTCTGCCTCCCTCAGCATCAATTTCATTCTCAGCCTCGGCATTGCTCCACTACATTCTGGTTTTCAGTAGTGCTATTGAAAATTCTGATGCCATTCTTGTTCCCAGTCCTTGGTATGTGACCCATTTTTCCTCATTAGAAGCCTCATCATTCTAAAATTTCAAAATAATTTTTCTTCATTCATATCCAGCAGGAAAATATGTATTCCTGAATTCAGAGTGAAAGTACTAGGTGACAGGCCCACCATTGAACCAATCACTCTGACCAGATAAGTTGGGAAAACTGATGGGTTTAAACTCAGTTCTGTGCTCCAATATTGAAGCTGGAATGGAATCAATTTCTCTAGAATCTCATGGATCCCAAAGGGAGAATAGTAGCTATTGAAAAAAGAGGGAAATAGATACTATAGAAATAATTAACACGTGTTCTCTACTTTCTTTCATCTTGGCTGGTAGGTGTTAGTAGAATAAAGCAAACAAGCATTTGTAATGAATGAGTGAAAAAGTGTGGTCTCTAAAGTCTGCAGAATTCTAATTCCACTAATTATTCTACCCCCCCCCACCCCGTCCTATTTCACTCTTTACTAAATGCTTTTCCTCAGTTTATTAACTTGATGGAGTACCTCTCTTCACATAAACAAGGAAAACTCAGTCAAACCAATGCTACTTAACTATTAATACCCAACTAAAACTCAAATCTGATGAACAGGTTCTTCCTAACACCCTCTTACTAAAACACCTTCTGTTCCTCATTGTGTTCTTGCAAAAAGTAACAAAGCCAACTTGTTCAACCAAGGGTGCATTCCTGATGGTTTTTGGCTGAAGAGTGTTAGCATTCCTTGCTGTATCCATTTCAGTATTCACTGAAATTCATTGAAGTATCCTTCATTTCTCTTCTGAATTACTGTGACTCAGATCTGATCCTGTCACTTCCATGTCCCATATTCCTAAGAATAAAGTTTAAATATTTTACCCAGTCCTATGACACTGACCTTACAATCACACCTTTTATCTTCTTAATCATCACCTCCCCAATTCCAGCTTTCTGCACCAGCCTGCATGCATTTCCTTGCAGCTCTTCTAAAGCAGTTTTCTAAACTCTGGCATGCCCCTTGCACCTCTTCTGATGTCTGGAAATCTTCATCTAGCTAATTCTTTTCTTTAAAAAAAAAAATATATATATATTTTATTGATTTTTTACAGAGAGGAAGAGAGAGGGATAGAGAATTAGAAACATCGATGAGAGAGAATCATAGATCAGCTGCTTCTTGCACATCCCCTACTGGTGATGTGCCCACAACCAAGGTACATGCCCTTGACCGGAATTGAACCCAGAACCTTTCAGTTCGCAGGCCAACCCTCTATCCATTGATCCAAACCAGTTTCGGCTGGCTAATTCTTATTTGTGCCTAAAGACTTGGCTTAAGCATTTCTGCCTCTGAGAAGACTTCCTGTATATCTCCAGGAGTCATTACTTTATGTTTATTTCTTTCATAGCATGTATTACTGTGCTGTACTTACTTGTCTATCTTCTCTATAAGGCTACTAACTTCTTGAGGTCCACAACCTTGTCTTATTTATCCTGATGTCTTTCTGGCAGTGGATCCTACCCTGGGTTCTTCTCCTGCAATGTTTGAAAATGGAAATGAGGAGTGGGTTAGGTTGCTCAGGGAATGAGAACTGCTTTGTGGATTTGTTAAAGATAATAACTGTTTTTACAGTATACTAGATAGTCCTGAATTATCCCCCTCAAAATGCCAATAGTATCTCCATTAAGAAACACCAGAGGTTCTCAATAGGTGTTCATATATTCAAGAAATGAACAATAAATAAATAAATAAATAAATAAATAAATAAATAAATATAAACATGAGAGAATAAATTGATGAGTAAATGACGAGGGAGAAAAGCAGCATGTATTTGGGAAAGAATGTGTTCTCAAAGGGGAAACCTCAATTGGGAAATTCATGTTCTGACAAGTTAAAAGTTTCTCCTGGTCATATTCACTGTCTCTTTCCCCTGGGTGTTATAAATGCAAAGTATAACCTGAGTTATTAAAATTAAAAGATTCAAATAAAGATAACTAGCATGGGCTATAACACCCAGCTATTGAGATGTAAAAAGGGAGACATTTCTATAAAGCTTCTCAGATTTGTGCCTATGACATTTACCTCACCTTTTTCAAGACAAGCCCTCTTAATTCTGATTTGAACTTCATATTCAACCATTTAACCTAAAGCCTATTACTTGCAGTTTATTGTTGCTGCAAATTAAAATCCACAGCGAACAGATATGCTCTGTGGTTTTATTTGTCAATGCAAGTAATGTGTGAGTCACTTCCTCTCTTCAGGGGAAACTTAGCTGGGTAAACTTTCTCTGAGGCTCAACTTTTCCTGGAATAACTTTGTCATTAAAGACATAGGCACTGAATCAAAAGCTAATTGAATAAAAAATGGTGGTGATTTAATCCGAAATTCTACACCCATTTAGTGCCTAAATAATTGGTACCAAGTGTCTTTTATGCAAGGATGACAACTCTCCTGGGTCCCAGTACAATCATTTCTAGTTCTGAAGGTAGTTTTAAACTTCCTCCATGTGTTCTTATACCCAATGGCATAAAGAAGATTTCAATGTAATACCAACACAAAAATATTAGTTGGTGACCATGATCTAATCTGTACTTCAACAATTAAGAGGCACCATTAAAAATGTTTTTAAAAATTTAGAACATTTTTTATTCACACTTTTCATGGAAGTAATTTTCTAAACTTCTAATTTTATTGGAGAAAACAGTAATAGTCTTTTCACAAGGATGACCATGAAGGACATCTGTTCTTTAATAATTATAGACCCAGCATATTCCTAACTCTCAGTGTTCTATTTCTTCATTTGCTGTGTAAAAGGAGGCGAGAAACCCTTCCTTTTCTTATGATTCTTTTGAGACTTATCAAATTGGTAAACTACTCCATGCTGATCTATCAGTGGGAGCTAATGGCTAGCAGAGCACTAAAATAGTCTTTAGAGATTCACTAAATTCACTAGTAAATTCAATGGTGGAAATTATTTTAGGCACCCAGTAGGTCAAGAGTGAGAAATTTTGGAATAGACTGGATCTAAAGCAAGCAAAGCCTGGAGTTATTAAGTTTATATTAATGAAATAAAGGATAATTCCACACAGAGATTAGTCCCTCAGATCTTACTTTGCAGGAAGCTGCCATCTTTACTTTTAAACAAAGCTCCTTACGTGTAACTGAATGGGTGTAACACTTATACTAAATTTCATGAGGCATATCTATTGGGCATGTTACATATGCAGGCCCTCTGATAACTACTGCACAGAGTTGTAAAAACTCAATTTACAATCCATCATGGGGAATAAGATAGACCAGCAATTTTCAACATTTTTCATCTCATGGCACCCATAAACAAATTACTAAAATTCTGTGGCACATCCACACAAAATATTTTTTGCCAATCTGACAAAAAAATAAAATAGGTATAAATTTGATTCATTCATACCGGACAACTACTGTTGTGTTGGCTGTTGTTGGTTTTTACTCGACAATCTAAGGGGAAGTAGGTCAGTGCCCCTGACTAAACAGTTAGATATTGCATGTTTTAAAAATTCTTGCTGAAACCGGTTTGGCTTAGTGGATAGAGCATCCCCGGCCTGCGGACTGAAAGGTCCTAGGTTCCATTCCTTGGTTGCGGGCACATCCCCAATATGGGGTGTGCAGGAGGCAGTTGATCAATGTTTCCCTCTCATCGATGTTTCTAACTCTCTATCCCTCTCCCTTCCTCTCTGTAAAAAATCAATAAAAAATATTTTTAAAAAAATTCTTGCAGCACGAGAGGTGGGAGTTGGTGTTGCGGGCGGGCTGAGTGGGGCCGCGAAGCTGCAATGGAGCCGTGGGCCGGCTGCCATGAACTCCATGAACTTGCTGGTGCAGGCGGAGGATCTCTAGGCATTCGAGAGGAGACTTACTGCATATATTCATTGTTTGCAACCTGCCACCGGACGCCGGAGAATGCCTCTTGCAGTGGTATCTGTCTGCACAGCTACTGGTGCCTGGGACTGTTTACTAGATCCCGAGACACAAAAGGTGTCCTTCCTCACGACTTTATGGAATCACCCATTTTCCACCACTGGTTGCATCACTCTGATAGGCTTGTTCTTTGCCAGAATGTACAAGAGAGTAGTTTCTACGCCCATGATAGCCATGCGATGTGGAACTATGTTAGCAGAGTACAACAAGTCTTGTGATGGCACAGGAACACGGATTCTGGAACGGAGGCCTCATGTTCGGTGACCATCTGCAGTCCCGGTAACGGGACCTAAGGCAGCCTTTCTTCAGGAAGTGGCACAGCAGAAGCCAGCGGGGTTCCCTGTGCAGTTGGAGGTGGACGGTCAGAGCGACCGCCGCCAAGACGCATGCAATGTGCACCCAGACAGCGTGGCCGTGGCCACTCGCATGATCAGCGCTGGGAGTTGTTTGCCTATCAGTATTAGTGTCACTTTAGTTCTTCACATCTTGCAGAGATTGTTGCAGATGAAGTGTGTGTGTATTTTACTAAGTTAAACTTAGAGACCCATCCAGTTTTTATCCTGTATTTCTGCAAACTACTGTAAATAGCAAGTCAAGAGGAAAGCGTTATGGGGAGTTGGTTCTCCTGTACCGGTTCTTCAGGAACATCAGCCTGCCCTCTCCACGGCTCTTTAAAACCTCCTGTTACCTGCAGTGGTACCTGTCGTTCTTACACTCCTTTCTTTAATCAGAATGAAGGAAACCATCCGGTTGGGCTTGGACTGAGAAAAACTCATCTTCATTATGGTGTCAGAAATCATAGATGTTTTCAGAAACAATTTTTGTTAAACCTGAGAGTGAACTTCAGCCACTATTGGGGAGATATTTCTCTATTCATTGTTTTCATTTAAAGTTACTCGATATATATTTTAAATAGTTTATTTTTTTATATTTTATTGACTTTTTTACAGAGAGGAAGAGAGAGAGACAGAGAGTCAGAAACATCAATGAGAGAGAAATATCGAACAGCTGCCTGCTGCACACCCCCCACTGGGTATGTGCCTGCAACCAAGTTACAGGCCCTTGCCAGGAATTGAACCCGGGACCTTTCAGTCTGCAGGTCGACACTCTATCCACTGAGCCAAGCCAGTTTTGGCTACTTGGTATTTTAAAAATAATTTTCGAAACGCTCCAGAGGATTAAAAAATATCAGTTTAGGTATAAATTGTGTATTGTCTGGGAATCTGACAGCTATTGTTTTAGATAATTGGATTTTATGCTGTGATCAACGTGCCATTGCACTAGTATTGCACAGTGTGCTTGATCATCCACTCCATCACAAGGAGAACTGGGGGGCAGTGCCACAAATAAGAGTCTACAATTCTCACTGCTTAGAGAGTGTTATTCACATACTGTGCATGCATATTAGCCACAGGTACTATACTAACTTAGAATTAAACTATTGGGATTGCTGTAAACATTTTAAAGAATCAGAGGTGCCTTTTACCTGTTATTAGAAGATTTTGAGATGGCTTAAATAATTTCAAGAGCAATCTTTTAAATCTCATTTGACATAAAGCTAAAAATTCAGTAACAGGACAAAAACTTTTTAACCAAGCTACCATTTCATGGAAACGTGTTCATCCTGGCTTTCATGTGCATCAGATTTTATTCTTTGATAAAACCCTCTGCTCCTAAGAAATCTTAAGAAGGTATTCTCTGTACGCTGCGTTGTTTTATTTTCTATAAATTTTGTAGGTAAATGTGTGTATAAAATAAATACTATATATATGTAATTCTTGCACACACCAGTGTGCCATGGCATACCGGTTGAAAATTGCTGAGATATAACATAACTATTACTGATGGTAAAATGAAATACAGTAATTTCATAAAAGAGACACAGTGGAATTGTAAAGCTACAAGAGAAAGGTCACAATCAGTTGAAGAGATCATAAAAACTCTTCTAAGTGGAATTATTTGTGAAGGAATTTAGTAATGAATAGGACTTTGTGGAACATCTAAAAGCAATTGCTTATTTCTATGATTGTCAATGTAGGGAAAAATTGTGAAAGACTTTGAAATGGACCAAAATGGATGACTTAAATAGAAAACTAGGTGAACTAGATCATTTGCTAGGGCCGCTGGGCCTTTCATTGAGCTATTTTACAGCTCTATAATTTGTAGATGAACTGATAGCAATGCAGGTAACTCCTGTTTGCAGATGTACGAATCTAACAGTCTATGCCCTCCCCACCACCTATGTTCAGTCCAGACACCTCAGGTAGACTCTCAGTGCCACTGTCCTAGCACCGAGGTTGTCAGCTTCACTTCCACTGATTTTCTCACTAACGCCTCTGCTTGTAGATCATGATGTCCAAGGAAGTCCTGATTTCTTTTCCAAAGGAGCTCATAATATCAGTCCTTTCCAGTGCCTGCCCATTCATCTTCCTCTTAGTTGTATCCCTAACACACAGGGATCACCTATCACCTTGAAAAACACAACAACACACAGTTAAATGACCTCTTTAAATAATATAACTATAGGTTGTGGATTCCAGATCATGAAGAAACACTTATTTTTTATCAGTCAACTTCTCTTTAGTACCTGAAGCATAAAAACCGCTCTGAGGATAAGAACTATAACAAAAGGGATTATTAGTACTTTAGAGTTATCTGAGTTTGAGGTTATCTCATAACGTGAAATGTCCTTTTGCCTCTTATTATGTCCATAAAACCCATTCCTTTTTTTTTTTTTTTTTTAATTTGAGAGTCAAAGAGAGAGGGAGAGTGAAGGGGGAGAGAGAGAGAGAGAGAGAGAGAGAGAGAGAGAGAGAGAGAGAGAAACGTCAATTTGTTGTCCCATTTTTTTTAATGCATTTATTTGGTAGATTCTTGTATATGTTCTGACCAGTGATGAAACCAAAACCTTTGCATATTAGGATGATGCTCTAATCACTGAACTACCTGACCAGGGCAAAACCCATAAAGCTTTAATTTAGAAATCTATATAATCTAGAAATATTTTTGACATAAACATGTTTTTCTTATTACTTAGAAATGGTGTGAGGCCATGCAGCCTACTGCCCAGCATCTAAGCCTATTCTATTTGCATGTCATTGATAAGAATGAAGCAGACAGGTGTGAGAGGGTCCTCTCATGTATGGTTGCTATTCTGTCTCACTATTGGGTATCATTATTACACTTTAAGAAAAGCACACAATAAATAGTATCTTACAGGTTTTTAGAAAGCTCAAGAACTAAGAGAAACCGGAATTATTGTATTCCCAGGAAAACTCTGAGTGAATCCCACCTGGAAAGGAGAGAAAGAGATGCCAACTCAGATTATGTACTACTTTAATTGAATCTCTGTATATGATTTGCTTACAATTTTTCCATGTTTAAGATTGCAAAATCGTGCGTTCATTATGACCTTGCATTTTATCATGTTCAGGTTATATAATTATAAAATAATTAAACTGCCTTCATAAAATTATATGGGAATTAAATGATTACATTTTAGAAATGGGCTACTTGATCATGTTCAGCTTCAAACCCATAATAAACTTGGCACCACTAGCGAGAGTTGGAAACAAGACACCAAGTGAGCACTGCTTGGCATTCTTCCACTAAAATCCCTGCTGTGGAAGATTGGCCCTTTCAAACAGCACCAGATACCAAACTGGCATTTAACTTAAAAATCTGTAATCAACAAAGATCTCAACAACCACTTACATTTTGCAACATGGCAATTCTAACTACCAATTATGAAATAGCTGCTAATACCATCAATAAAATGAGAGCATGTGAATTGAGGGGGTGGGGGATACACAGAGAGATCAAGAGATCACTATCTCATTGCTGAAAGGAACATTTTATGAAAACATACCTTGGAGATAGTGGGTACAGTTCCAGACCACTGCAATAAAGAGAGTATCCCAGGAAAGTGAGGTGTAATCCTTTTGCTGGTGCAGGGTCTTGCCTTCAATTTGTAAACACACACATACACACCATCCATGACAGGCAACAAGGCAGAGAACAATAAAGCGAGGTATACCTATAGTGGATTAGCTGAAATGAAGAACAGACATGTTGAGTCTTTTTTAATTGAAATTCCTTAGAGAGATATCTCTCATTCAGTTACTCTCATTCTAATTATCACAGTAAAAGTATAGCATCCTAAAACCCATCATCCTGAAAAGTTATGTTTATTTTCATAGTTATGATTATATTTAAAAAATATATTTTTTATTGATTTCAGAGAGGAAGGGAGAATAACCTCACAGGGTGATGAATTCCTGACTGGGCAGGTCATGCCCCATGCCTATTGCTTCTTCTTCTTCTTCTTTTTTTTTTTTTTTTTTAAAAAAAAAGATATATTTTTATTAATTTCAGAGAATTTCAGGAGAGGGAGGGAGAGATAGAAACATAAATGATGAGAGAGAATCACTGATCATGCTTCCTACTGGGGATCAAGCCAGAAACCCCCAGCATGTGCCCTTGACCGGAATCAAACCCAGGACCCTTCAGTCTGCAGGCCAATGCTCTATCCACTGAGCCAAACCAGCTAGGGTACTATTGCTTCTTTAGTGAAGGGTTTTAAGCCGACTCTGTCCATTGTTCTTGTGCATCTTGGTTAATATACTCTGAAATATCAGAAATAATATCCATAGAAAGGGGTATTAACCCTCAGAAGAGTGCTTAACCTTATTAACTATTTTGTAATCTAATTTCCATCTTGCTTTCTCCAATCTTCCTTATGTTCCCCTCCTTAATTTCAAATGCATAAAAGAAGCTACAAAACTGTTATTCTCTGAAGCAGTTAAAATCTCGTTCCCCAGTATATGTTGTCAGTTTGGCTCAAATAAGTGTTTATAAAGATTTTCTACAGGTTTGGAAGTTACTTATGTCGACAGTTGGAAGCAATTTGAAAACAGCAGCTGGTGATTATGGATCAGGATAGAGACTTGGTCCTGGGAAGTATCTCACAGTCAAAGCAAAGCCAGCAAGTCTTTGGAAGGGCAAGCTGATCCTGGAAAATACAAATAAATCAGACAGTAGTTTCTGATTCAGCTATTATTTTTCTAATGATTGCTTTCTTTCTATATGTGTAGGGAGGATTATTTATTGACTTTGAACTTTGGTAATGGTGAGTTAACTTCAAAAATTTTGTTATTGTCATCATAATATACATGTTTAATAAATGTAACGAAAGAAACCTATATTTCTTCTTATGTTTAAAATATAAGAGCAATAGATTTAAGTGAGAATATTTGGAAGAGGGG